AAAAAAAACCCAACTTGTCACATCACTTCGAACCCGGCTCAAAAGCGGAGGGGAGAGAAGAAGCTGCAAGGCCAGTGTCTCAGGCAGGTGAAAAGAAATCCATCATCATCATCATCATCATCATCGCCCCTGCCCCCAAATAATGCCAATAAAAATAAAAATATAAAAAAAGTAAATTTCTGGGTCTCAACGTTAAGAAACATAAAGTGTTAGAATGTACCTATTAATGCTCGCTATTCCAACCATTTTTTTCTTTAAAGTTTTACAAAATGAATTACTGCCACTTTTTTTTTAAACATTGTGTAAGAAGAAATGAGTGTGCACAACTCTACACTTTTCTAGCATTCTTGAACTAATTCACAAATGCAAGAAAAATAAAAAAAATTGGGAAAAAACAACGAACCAAACAAAAAAAAAAAAGAAGATGAATGTAGGTAGTTTGATGTTATAAACTATACAGGAATGAAGCGCTTGTTGCCACAGAAAGAACAGGGATGGGACCTTCCCCCTGTTCAATTTTGCGTGCTAAGAGGGTCGTTTTTATTTTTTTTATTATAAACACTATTAAATTCAGACTGCGTTTTTGGTTTTTTTTTTTTCTCCTTTATCTGAATATACAAGAACATTCATTATCAAATGTTCGTTATCATCAATACTACAAAGAACGAGACACAAATCGCAAGAAACAATGGAAAATGTTAATAAAGCTGAAAGAATCATTGAGTTTTTTTGTGTTTTTTTTTCATTTTTATTTTTTTTGAGTTTCTGCAGCTTTTTTGTTTGTTTTTTTGTTTGTTTTTTGTTTCATTTTGTTTTTTTTTTTTTTTTTGGTATCGAAGATCAGGTTTTTCTGGGCAGAACAACAACAAAAGAAAAAAAAAGAAGAAAAAAACCACAACACTTCAGGGGAAGGAGGAGGGAAGTGGGGAGGAAAAACACAACTGAAAAAAGGGAAGAAAAAAAAAGGAAAAAAAATTCAAAAGGCAAAGAAAAAAAGGTAAGCGACCAGCCAGCTACGACAATGCAAACTGGAGGGACAAAAACCGGGGAAGGGAAAGGGAAATTTTGCAAAGCACCATGGAACGGTGACTGCGGAGAGAGAGGCCGAGGGAGGAAGAGCAGGAGCGGGGCAGCCTTTGGGGGGAACGACCCTCTCTTTGCTCTTGACTACCCACTGGTGCCCACTAAGGACCAGCTGGTGGACGGACGAGGCCTCGCTCTCTCCAGCTGCCCTATCTTGGCCTTCTCGGGGAAGAACACAAGGTCCCTCAACACCAGCAATGTAACAAATGAACAAAAAGCGGGACCTTTTTGCCATTTTCTAAATCCAGCCTTTCAAATGTGCTCCACGTCCTGCTCTGATCCCCACCAGCTCGGAGATGAATCGATTCCTCTCAATGGAGGGGAAATTCCCAAATTTGAAAGCAAGTGCTGGACAGTGCTCTGGGGTTCTTCCCCATGGAAAGCCAGGCACCTTTTCAGGACCGAAAACACTTGGCGCTGGGTTGTGGGCCAATCTCCATTATATTTTCCATTGGAAGGGAGGTTCCCAACACTGCTAGAATGATCTCAAGATGGCTGGAGACGCAGAGGCCATCACAGGTGGAGTGGAGAAGGAGAATGAGCTATGCACATGGGAGAGCACAAGATGAAGAGGTGAAGAGGTATTAAGAGTTAGTCACAAGGTGCCCAGCCCATTACACACACAAAACCCAGGCCCTGATCCTGCAAACTGCTACGCTGGATGTGCAGAGGGTTGACTTGGCCTACTGGAAGAACTTGCAGCCAAAACTACTGCACGCCAGTGTCCTCCTGCCCTATCACCCACTGGCCAACCACATGTGGCAAATTCGTTATCCTGGTCTTAAATGAGAGGCCGCATCATCTGTCTAAAGGACGTTCCATGAGGAAGAAACCCTACTTATCACCAGTCACCCCAAAAAAGCAGACCTGTGGCTGGCCAGGGGATCGCTCAAGTTCTCCCATGCCTTTGGAAGCCACATTCCACAGGATCTCCAAGGACTGACACCACCAGCCTAACCTGAAAAAAATTCCCGAGGGACATCCACTCATCTTGCAGAGCTCCCCCTCAAGCAAACCGGCTGTATTAACAGTCACCAAAAGCACCTAATCCCTTCATCCTGCACATAGCCTGCGTCCAGCCTCTGGGATCTAACTTTGGCTTCCCTGAAGTAATCTCCAACCCTAGGAGCTAATAAGGGCAGTGCTGCCACAGTCTCTCCTCCATGCACCTGCCAGGCACCACTGTCTCTCCAGCATGGCTTGGGGAATGCAATGGCCAGAGGAGACTCCCAACCGCTTTGGACCCTATTGGCACTTTGGAAACCTGTGTCCTTCTTTTCCACAGCCCGCTATGCCCCTGACGCTTGCTCAGCTCTACAGCGGGTGGCCCTGCAGGCAGAAATACAAGCCAACACCAGGTGATGCTTTCCTCGATAGAAAAAAAATCCACTGACGGCCTCCTGCACAGGTCCCATCCATCATGACTTAATGCTTGATCATGTAAAACACTGTGGACGCGCTCGACGCTTTCCTTATCGGGGCTGATAATGTCTCACATGCCTCCTCCTGCTCTGTTTCCTCTCTCCTCTGCTGCCCGTCCCTAGCAGTATCGCAACGGAGAACACCAGCGGGTGCAAGCACGGCTTGGAAATGGCCCGGTACCTTTGGCAGAGCCAACAGGAGCAACAGTGGCGGAAGCCGGCCTTGTTCGGCTACGTGCAAGCGCAGGCGCGTTCACCTGCCCTGCAACCGGCACGGCCCGGGGAGGACTCGCCGAGGCTGCGGTGAGGCGAGGTGAGGCGGGGGCCCGCCAGGGCCAGCGGCGCGCGGAGGAG